AATACGATTGCTCTGGTGTTGTTGTGTAGATATACAAAGAATCGAAATCTAAAAGGTTTGGTGTTGTCAACATGTTAAAAGTGAGATGAGTTTTCCCAGAACCGGAACTACTGCATATACACATGAGCATTGGGCTATTAGGAAATATTTCTGAATGATTAAATTTTTTGCCCATTTTTTATTATTTTAATTTGTTCCAAAAACCACTCCTTCTCCTTTATACTTTGAAAGAAATATTCCTTCTCCAGTGTGTATATTTTTTAAAAATATTCCATTACCCTTATGTTTGACTTCTCCTGTGTCAATACTATCTACTAATTTATATAATTCTTGTTTAACAGTTTTCTTGGTTTCTTCCCCAAATCTTTTTCCAAATTCTTTTATTGTGCCTATCATATCTCCCATTCCTGGACCTTTGCCTTCCTTTTCCATTATTAAATTATGTCTACGTTCTTCAGCGGCTTTAGCATCAGCTGCTTTCTTTGCGTTGGCAGCTTTGACTGCGGCAGATATTCCTCCAGTAGCTGCATCCGCCGCTGCAATACCACCAAATATTAAAGGTAGTAAGAATGGTAAAAATCCACCTTCTTTTGTGTTCGCGTCAATTCTTTCTAAATCTATATCGTGTCTGACTTTACAATATTTATATTTATCAATAAGTTTTTAGTTATGTTGATTTTTTTACCATTATAAATTATTACAGTTGGTGAAGCTGTTTCAATAGCTTCTATTATTTTCATAAGTTTCTACTTTCATTTTGAAGGGGGTATTTTTTACTCAATTCTTATCATTCTTCTATCTGCTATTTTAATTAAATGTTTTGCCTCTTCCAATAATAAACAATAACCTGTTACATCTCCTTGTGTTTTTTCAATATGAATATTTATGTTCACTCCTGTTTTGAAAAGATCTTCTTGGTGAGCAGATAGATCAAAACAGAAGATTGGATGATTAAGTGCAAAATCTACATATTCAAACTGAGGTAGATTTCCAAATAATTCACACATATTTTTATAGTTTCTATACAATTCATTATAATCCTTTGTGGTTGGATTAATTGTTAAAGGTTGGTTAGGATAATTATCGTTGTTTAATCTTACTTGAACTTTATGGATTATAGGATCTTGAGTTTGGTTCATTGCTACTCTAAAGATATTATTGTTATTCGTTTGAGAATCTGGTAAGTTCTTGAAACCAACTATTAAATATCTTGCTGGTTTAATAGTGTTAGTGATTGACCATGTGGTGGATTCTCCAGTTACGATGAAGAAAAGCTATTTCAATATCTTTAGTCAACATGTTGAATATTCTCGTTTCTACTTCAATTGATGGTGTTATTACGTGTATGAAAAGTTGGAGATTCGTTATTTCTAATTTTGCATCTGAACCATTCTCTCCAAAAAATATCTTACCATCGTTGATTTCTCTTTGTAGATGAATTTTATATGGTAACTTGGAAACTTTTCTATGTTCCAACAGACCGAATAAAGGATATCATTTCCAATGTACGTAATTACCCCACCTATTATTCTCAACAATATTATTGTACTGAAGTACTTGTTTTTCGAATCCATGATTAGTTGCTTGTGCTACTCTTTCTATTGTGTTTCGAGCAACAATTCTCACTCTAGCTAAATCGGCATCATTTGCAAGATTTCTTACCGGTTCTTTTAAAACACTTCCACCACCAACATCGGGTATCCGACCCGAGACTGAATCGAAATCTTTAGGATATAAAACTGTTTTCAACATTGTGTCAAATTCCCCAGGGTGTTTAATTGTTTCTATCGGATTTGAACCAGCTTCCAAACCCATCTCGCTAAATAAAGATGGAAAGAAATTGTTTTCTAACGTTGTATTTGTTTGTGGAACTTGATTCTGAGTTCCATCTTTAATTTTGAAATCGCATCTGAAATAAGCATCGGAAAGAAGCAACCAATTCGATAATGAATTTATTTCGAAGGTAATTCTACCACCATCATTCAATTGGGATTTAGAACCAACAGTGGGTGAGATGATAATGTAATCCTCTTTTTTCTTGTTAAACGAATAACGAATCGGATCGTATAATCTAAAAATTGGATCTAGTATTTTATTTGCCATTTTTAAGGTTTAAAATTTGAGTAGAAATTTTCCAAAAATAAGAGTTATCTCCCTTCCATATTATTTTAATATGCTTTTTTTGATGGAATGTAGGAAATTGATTGAAGGTGTTTTTTGGTCTTTTTTAAGTGTAAGAATTTATGAAATGTAGGATGTTTTATGAAATGTAGGATGTTTTATGAAATGTAGGATGTTTTGCTGTAAGAATTTATGAAATGTAGGGAGTTTAGGTCTTTTTTTTGGGAGCTCATAGATTGGTCGCATTTTACCCATGAAATGAAATGGAATAAAACGCCAGACCTGACCGCGATAGTCTTCAGTGTAAACAAACGCACACTTACGCCCAGATGCGCCAACCTATTTCCAAGGCTTTGTGGAATTTCACGTGTTAAGATGGCGGACATAAGCAATGAGGAGGCACTCCATGTCGTGCACCTAGAGGACCCGAACCCCCCTAGAGAGTACATGCGAGCAATAATTGGTCGCCGACAGCATCAAGGAGATTTTTATCACCTTGATTCTGTCGGCGACCAAATATTGATTCCGAATGTTTTCGCAGGTACTCTCGAAGAGGTTCTGCAGCTCATTGGGCCACTCATTCAACATTCTCAGACACATCGGATTCCAATCGTTCCAAAGGAACGTTAAATGATTTACTTTGGAATAGAAATGTCATTTTCCAATTAAATAACTGTATTTTGTCTCTTTCACGTCTGACTAATTGTTCTGTTTGGTAATAATTCATACTGCGAGGTAGTTGTAAAAGTGTTGAATTGAGCGCTTTGGGTTGAGGTAATACAGAAGCAACTGTAAACTGTTAGATTTAACCCTGTTAAAGTGCACTGACTGTCGGGCTTTTCTAAAGGGGTTGTAAAGAGGCTTACTTAACTTTTTAATTGTATTGGGAACACTGAAAGCATTGATTCAAATTTTCAGTCAGACGTTCTTGATTCTTGCAATTTCCCTAAAACTAGAGCGTTGTATGATATTTCTAGAGGTAAAAGCTACTATGTCTCTAAGCATATCTATCTTTGATTTAGTGGAATTGTAAGAACCATGGACGCCTGGATGGAAATTGGAATGGTGCAAATCGATGATTTCAGTGTCCCCAATACACATAAAAAGTTTAGAAAACCTTTTAACAATTCCTTTAATTGTTATTCTAACAAACAAATTCTATTCTTTAAAATCTGACCGGGTTGTCACGTACAAACACTTAAATTTCTCAACCTAAATTATCAACCTCTCATCTGTGTTTTCAATGTTGTCCATGTCGTAGAAAAGATCCGAATCACTCCTTGTCTGTGTTGTACAATAGCTAATTGTGATTGGTTGAATTGCCGGTGTTTGCTAGCGTAAACACCAGAAAGTTCAACACATTTGAACTCTGGAATATGTTACGCCGTCATACGGCGTTATACGGCGTGTCTCGCTGGCGTTGTAAGTATAAGTCGATGCGCTGAAGAACGCTGTTAAACGCCGTCTGCCAGCGTATAAAAGCGTTTAACGGCGTAAGAAGTATAAACCCAGCTTTAGGCTAACATGAAAATGTTGTATATAATTTCTTTAATGCAGGCATCATTTTTACAATTCATAATCTTCAAAGTTATTTTGAAATTCTATCAGCCAATCACATGACTACGTGATTCAGAGAGATAGCAGCACGCGCCTCAATACATCAGTGCGGCGTTAGATCTCATACTGATAGGACGCTCATAACTGAGCTCTCCTTTCTTTTGCAATTTCGGATTCCTTGGCGTTACGCTCTCTGAATTACAACAATTAATATTGTTATTGCATACTGTTCTAACCTAGGTCATATAATTCTTAACAGAATTCACATGGCTGACGCAATATTAAAATCGGCTAAAGTCGATCAAGCCACTCCGAGAAACATCAGACAAAAAATCAGTACAGACAGCGCATGATCGCCCTGCACACGGGATGTCACCGAGTCCTTCGCCATCGGAATCTTCAACAGCGAAAAAGGGATCCAAGTCAAGAAGTTTCGGGAAAAAATCCAGAGAAGTCTTCTTAGCCGATTTCACTGGACAATGTCACGAACATTGATCAACCGTCAACATCCCAGGTTAAGGGCGATAACTCTCATCTCTCTACAGCCCTCCTTACGGAGATTAAAAGTCTATGCTCTTCGGTCGGAGATATGAAGAATTCCATAGTCAATTTGATCAGCAGTCTAGGAAATCAAATAGCTTCAAATCAACAGAGAAGTTACGAATCGGATTTTTCATGCGATGAAGACGACAACTCAGATTCAGTACATGCGGGTCAATTTAGAACGGTAAACAATACTGACGTAGACCCGGTTATCGAGCTGATAGACACAGTGCTAGATGAGAAAAGTCAAGGTTCCTCACTTGATTATAACAATGCTTTTGTGGAGAAAATAGCCACATCTGACGAGACAGACGACGTTTTATCGTCTTTAAAAAGCAATTTACTTATGGAGGAGACCCTGGGTGATAACATAGATGAGAGATTAGCGGACATAGTCTCTGGCTCCTTCACTTTTAAAAGCAGTAAAAATGCCGCTGATCTTATAGGAGACAAAATCAAGAAGTATAAAAGATCCAAAAATTGTCCAGCCCTTCAAACCCAGGAAATAAACAAACTCACGTGGGATAGTATCCCAAGTGACTGTAGAACGAATGATTGTAAAAATGCAACGAATTCAGACGGGATTCATCAAATCCTCCACAGCCGTTGCAGAAACCATGGATCTGATTTTGAAATCAACAAATGACTTGCCAAAGAAACTCGTATCAACACTTATTGAAAAACTGGGTGACTCTATTGCCTTTAGAGAGGCAATTCTCAGAAGGAAGTCATACATTCAACCTCACCTAAAGGAGGAATTCAAACCTCTTTGTGCACCAGGCGCACCAGTGTCTTTCACTGAACTTTTGGG